AACTTCTATTGTAAAGTTGCTATTGTGCATCTAAAGCTGTTTGGTCTCACCCACTGGTTTGTCTCTTTTCCATTCAGCTCATCTATGTGATGGCCACAACGTATAACTTTGCAGTGTTGAAGTTTAAGAGCTACGACCACAATCACACCACTAAGTTTTGAGCTTTTTGTATAAGGGCAACTGCAAAGTCTGTGAAAGTTGCTCTCAGAGACAGAAAGATAGAGGGAGGACCTGAGTGAGTAAAAGAGGTCAGGAAAAAGGCAAAGGAGAGAAATAAATTGAGACTTCATAGCATGGGCCTTGATGTATAGACAGTGTAGTGCATATTAATGGTAATGTCTAATGTTCAACTAATTTGTATCTTTGTGTTTCTATACTAATTTGACAAGGTGTGATCTCTTGACAAAACAAGGACAATACATCATACTCACTTAATGCTTTACATACATTTTACCTAGGCACCAATTCATATAAAGTATAGCACCTATGACCAATCTAGAATAATGTAGCTTATTTACAGTTTAAGAGAAAACGACTTTAGTAGTGAGAATGTAACTCTCTGTTAGTCCAACAACACCTAATGGACAGGATTAAAACTAGAAAATAATACTATTTGGTAATGATGTCTCTCCATTGGATCATATCCACCCTGAGGCACCCGTAGTCCAGAACCCAGCCAGATAGAAAAAGCAAGTGAAGTACAGTAGATGAGAATTGCTGTTGTGAAAGGTATTAAGAATGTTGTGTTTATGCTCATAAACATTTATTCTATGCTACATGTACCTGTGAAGGGTGTGACTGTACTTTTAACTCTTTATGAGATGTTTTTCAGTCATGGAATTGACTCTAAAAATGCTATTGTTTTTCAGAGCCTTTGTTTTTAGATTCATCGGACTGCTACCTAGTCTAATATTATGTTTAATATTGAATTCAGACAGCATTTAGTTTTTGCCTTTTGTATTATTCTCAAAGCAGTATAGTTCCTGTTTTCAGAAATAATGCGAAATAAACAATTATTGTGGAGATGTAATTTCTCTTTATTTAGTAGTGGGTTTTTTTTACATTTATTTGGATATCAGTAGTTCTTCTTACATCATCTTTTATTTGCTAACTGCTAACTCATGAAATAACCCGATTTCCTGTGATGCCGGATACACTGAAAAAAAGTCATAACGACCATGCCATTTATTTAAAGTGCATTTTTGTATTGTTGTAATCAGAAATAATCATTTCTGGTTTAAACCTGTTTTGTTCAGTTAGTCTAAAACCAAATAACACTTGGTTTTTAAACAGTAAAATTGTAATTAAACCGTATTTTTGCTGGACACCATAGTCATTTTAGCATCATTGAGATACTATTTTGAATATGTCTATGTAGTTTTCATTTTTTTTATTGCAGTTTTAATTTGAGCTATTTTAGTACATCAAGATAAACTAAATAAAAATGAGAAATATTACTTTGTGGCAACTAAGTAAAAATAAGTACATTTAAAATAAAGAAAAAAGAAATAATCAGTTAAAGTCACAAAAAAATATGATTTTAGGGTTAGTTAACTATAATAACCCTGCATGACACCAGAGGACACATATATTTATATATAGGACACATACTGATTAGCTTAAATATTTTTAGTATACAATAGAAAATGTAATGCATTTTTTTTTTTAAACACACAATTAATACATATTATATTATGCCGACATTGTAATATTTTGGATTATGTCTAAAGATGTACAGTAAAAGATGTATAATATTAATTCGTAATATTGTATTATATATAATAAATATGAATTAAATATAATTTCTTATTAAACATAATATAAAGTTGGTCCATTTTTTCAGTGTATTCCGATCAACTAATATTGATTTCTGTGTGGCACAGCTATAATAATTCACTGAGATTTAGGTACTTAAGTGATTCTTAGAGCAACTAATTAATACTGTCTTAACTCGTATAGCTGGCTTTGGCTCACTAACCCACTCATGACTAATCCTTCCCTCCACCTGTTTCTTCCTCTTTCTTTCTTTCTTTCTCCCTTTCTCCCTTTCTTTCACTCTTTCTATTTTGTCTGTCTCCTCCCCTTCTCTACCGTCCACAGATCCACTACCTGATGATCCTGGCAGCAAACTGGGCCTATCTCTTCCCTCCACCTGTTTCTTCCTCTTTCTTTCTTTCTTTCTTTCTCCCTTTCTTTCACTCTTTCTATTTTGTCTGTCTCCTCCCCTTCTCTACCGTCCACAGATCCACTACCTGATGATCCTGGCAGCAAACTGGGCCTATCTCAAGGGACTGTGTCAGCAGACTCATGCCTACCAGGACATCCAAACCAGAGATGATCAAGAGCTGCAGGATGTGCAGTCACGCTCCAAGGAGGGTCTAAACTCCTCCTACTCATAAACAGTTCTCCCAACTCTTATCTACCCAACCTCTATCTAACCTGCTCTTGAATACACACACACACACACACACACACACCTGCCACCCTCAGATGAAACACTATACGCAAACTAACACTGCTAAGCGCTGCGCAATCATGACTATACATCATAACAGTGGGATAAGTTGGTTATAATCATGATGAAACATGTCAGGCAAGATATTGAATGTCTGTAACAAATGATGAGTGGAATTATGCAGTTAATGGTGATATGATGTGTTTTGCTCATCACCTTCATGGTGCAAAAGACCACTGGTATAAAAGTGTATGTATTCTAGTATTGTACTGTCATTTTGCAAGTATTTCTGAATTGCTAGAAAGTGTACGTACAGTGTAGAGTCATGGTTATAACTGGGTTATGTTTGGTTTTATGATGCATCGTCTTGGTGAAGCGCTGCTTACATGATAGCCTGTCTGTCTGCACTAACTCCTCACAGACATTTTGCAGGAACTTCCTTTTTTTGGTGTTTTATAAATTTATTTATATATATATATATATATATATATATATATATATATATATATATATAAATGTGTGAAAGTGAATGAATGTTGTGGTTGTTTTTTTAATTATGTGTATTGAAAATGTCTGTTTATTTAGAATTTTTCTCTGGTCTATGGCTATCTTAGATTTCTGAATTCACCTTTTTCCAACTCTCTTTCTTACTTTATTTTTTGGAGGGGGTGGGGAACAATACCGGTTCTTGACCAGTTGCACTAATCTTGTAATAGAAAGCAGGTGTAAAAACACACACACACACACACACACATGCACATAAATAAAAAAAATCTCTTTAAAGGATTCCTTAAAGCTGTCAATCTTGAGTATCATTATCAAGCAGTCAACCTTCAAAATGATATTCTGAAAACTATCTGACTGATATAAATCTGACAGGCTAAAAAAATGTAGATGTTTGTTTAATAATGATAATTAAAAAAAATGAACTAATGCTAAATGATCAACTAATAATGTCTGACGTAAACTGCCCTCATCAGCTATACAGGTTACATACTTTCCTTCAGCTTTATTGATAAATCTCTGTATTTTTCAGTCTTCTAAAATTCGTTCTTATGGCAAGATTGATGTTTACCATGAGTTTAATGAGATGATTGTGACTCCTCTGTGTGAGTTATTGCTATGTGGATGTGAAACTGAAAATGGTTTGAATTTACAGTCAATAATGCAGCCTTGTTTTTGCAGTGTATCTTTTTCCTAATTGGTCTCTCTCTCTTTCTATTACTACTTTTACAATATGACTCTTTTTATTGCTCTGTCTTTTAACTAAAATAATTCTTCTCTGTAATGTCTCTGTAAATATAAGCATGTTAGTATTGTCCACATATACAGTTGTTTGATACCAATTATATATATGCCGTTTCTTGCTGTATGTTAAATTCTGTTAAAGGGAACTTAAAGGGATGTGTAAAAAGTTGATCTATTTACCGTTTTTGAAAAAGAAGATGCGTGTGCCTGGATGTTCTATTGTTCCCTGATTATTGCATGGAGAGATATTTCATTTCGTTTTGCAGTACAGTAAGTGATGTGTAGTCCATTGTTCTAATGAACTACAATTGAGTGTCCCACTTCTCCCCGAAAAAACAAACCACTGTATGTTATTGGAAATTGTAGTCTTAGATGTTTCATAGTCGATTTTATTTGAAGTCAGATGTTTTATGAATCCTGTATAGTGATTTTTGTAACCTTCTCTAGTAAAATATTTTCTATGATCTATATGAACCCTTTTGTGTTTATTGTTATTTTAAAAAAGCTCATGTGCAAGAGATTCGTCTTCATATCTTGGCCAAACTGACTTGTAACTTCACTGCATTAACATCATTTCAACTTTAAATCCTTCTGCAGCTTGTGCATTCTAAATATGTATTTTTGTTGTAGCTGCGCCACCTGGTGTAGGAATGAGAACATGGCGCCCCCATTTTGGTTTATGATAAAAGACATTGACTAAAAGAATAGTTCGCCCAAAAATGAACATTTGCTCAAATGTACTCACCTTCAGTTGATCCAAGATGTAGATGAGTTTGTTTCTTCATGGGAACAGATTTTAAGAAATTCAGCATCACTTGCTCACCGGTAGATCCTGCAGTGAATGGGTGATAAAAGCATCGCAATAATCCAAAAATAATCCACACAACTCCAGTCCACCAATTAACATCTTGTCAGGTGGAGAAAGCAATATTATGTACAGAGCGTTGGTTCTCAAACACGTTCATGAAGCCCCCCAACACTGCACATTTTAATGTCACCAAATCTGACATACCTATTTCAAGTCTTGGAGTCTCTACTAATGAGCTGATGAGTTTAAGCAGGTTTGTTTGATTAATGAGACGCGTCCATTCACTGCATGGATCCATTGGTGAGCAAGTGATCTCATCTCCATAATTTCAGCACATTTTCATTTTCGGGTGAAAGATTCCTTTATCTTTTCATTGCACCAAAATAATAAGAATTGTGGTTAGTATAACAACAAATAAAAACATGCTGAGGAGCATAATCAGTTATCAAATACTTTTAATTCAGCATTATTTCAATTAAATATTTATGATACACACAAATGTAGCAAACTTGGATTAGCAGGCAGGCTTATTATGAGAATCATTTGTGACAGAAATTATGTCAAATAAAATTCACCCTTGAATGGTATCATTTCAGTACTCCGCTTTTATATTCTAGCATATTAAAAAAATTTATTGTTAGCTCTGATAAATTAAGAGTAGCAATGAGGGACCCAAAGCCCGTTGAAATTAAAGTGGTAATTAATACAAATTATAGATTTATAAATATGCTACAAAATCGCACTTTATGACTCAAAGACATTCCAAAATGTCTTATCACGCAAGATTGTTAAATAAGACACACAAACAACCCTGTGCTAAAGGCACTTAAAGTAACAACTTGTACACTCAGAAAATGAGACAAAACGCATTTGAATGTGTTCTAGTGTTCGTGAGTGTAACAGCTGATGTTTATTTCTCAACTGTAAACAGCGTTAGAAATAGTGTGAGTGCTAAAGCTAAAGGATCTCAATGATCCCTGTTTGGTTTATCAACAATCATAATATAGGCAACCTAAAGAATACAGGAATCTGATCCAGTGCTTTGAAACGATGGCGTAGGAATGTGATCCAAAGAGATTATTTTAAAGTTTAAACAAGGCATGTAATTCTGAGAGACTCTTCAATTATGTTCATTATTCAGAGCAAGACCAGTGTTTAAGATGTTTTAACTCTGCAATGACAAAAATTATGAAATTAGGAGGTTTTTCTGGCATGGAGTATGCATTTTTTGCTAACACATAAGGAGTGTTTCAACAGCATGAGCCGTTCGCCCGTGGCTTCCTGAACAGGTCAACAGTGTCTGTGGGCAGCAGGTGTTCTGCGCGATCTTCAGATGACAGCACACGTCTAACTGCTTCCTCAAATGCAGCTGAGACATTAGTGGCATCCTTTGCGCTTGTTTCGAAGTATGGATATCCACCATTCTCTTGACACCACCTTTGAGCTTCTTCCATTGACACCTGACGCTCCGCCACATCTACTTTGTTCCCTAGAACAACAAACGAAAATTTCTCTGGGTCCCTGACATCTGCGTAGTATGCAAACTCTTTCTTCCAGTTGTTGAGGTTCAAGAAACTTTGATTATCCTCCACACTAAACGTAAGTAGACAGCAGTCGGAGCCACGGTAAAAGGGTGTTCGGAGACTTCTGAACCTCTCCTGGCCTGCTGTGTCCCAGATCTGTAGAGTGACCATGTGACCATCCACCTCCAGCTCTTTGTTTAAGAACTCTACACCGATTGTGTGGAACAGATGGGAATCAAACTTGTTGGAGACATACCGGTTCATGAGGGAGGACTTTCCCACACCACCATCCCCCAGCAGAATCACCTTTAACAAAGACGACTTGGTGGTCATGATCAAGAACTTTCATAGGTTACAGACCTGAAATGAAAATCAGAATAAGGCATGTAATTCTGAGGGACTCTTCAATTATGTTCATTATTCAGAGAAAGACCAGTGTTTAAGATGTTTTAACTCTGCAATGACAAAAATTATGAAATTAGGAGGTTTTTCTGGCATGGAGTATGCATTTTTTGCTAACACATAAGGAGTGTTTCAACAGCATGAGCCGTTCGCCCGTGGCTTCCTGAACAGATCAACAGTGTCTGTGGGCAGCAGGTGTTCTGCGCGATCTTCAGATGACAGCACACGTCTAACTGCTTCCTCAAATGCAGCTGAGACATTAGTGGCATCCTTTGCGCTTGTTTCGAAGTATGGATATCCACCATTCTCTTGACACCACCTTTGAGCTTCTTCCATTGACACCTGACGCTCCGCCACATCTACTTTGTTCCCTAGAACAACAAACGAAAATTTCTCTGGGTCCCTGACATCTGCGTAGTATGCAAACTCTTTCTTCCAGTTGTTGAGGTTCAAGAAACTTTGATTATCCTCCACACTAAACGTAAGTAGACAGCAGTCGGAGCCACGGTAAAAGGGTGTTCGGAGACTTCTGAACCTCTCCTGGCCTGCTGTGTCCCAGATCTGTAGAGTGACCATGTGACCATCCACCTCCAGCTCTTTGTTTAAGAACTCTACACCGATTGTGTGGAACAGATGGGAATCAAACTTGTTGGAGACATACCGGTTCATGAGGGAGGACTTTCCCACACCACCATCCCCCAGCAGAATCACCTTTAACAAAGACGACTTGGTGGTCATGATCAAGAACTTTCATAGGTTACCTCACCCATAAACCTGAAATGAAAATCAGAATTAGCAAGTTCTGAAAGGCCAGTCTTCTCACGTTGAAGTGAACTAAATGTAGGCCTACCATAGAAAAGCATTAAGTAGGACTTTTGTGGAAGGTGAGGAAACCTGTTATGTGTACAGGCTGCCTGGTTCTAGAAAACATGCCTCATGGTGATTTTCAGAGTAACCTAGCCTACCTTTTAATGCCAGTGTGACATATAAAGTCAGCTGGCTCAGGTCAATGTTAATGGTATCTTTAGAATAAAGTTTTGTCCCCAGACATTGTTCTTCACAGAAATAGTAATATTTCTGTTTAGAAATGTCCCATGACAGGAGTCCCGGAAGCGCTGATCATGTGAGACAAATCTGCATGGATTGTCCTGTCCTCATAACTTAGTATATGAAAATAATACAACTCACAATGTAAGGAATCACTGTAATCAAAGTTGGCCTTATTACATCCCTATAACTTTTTTTTCAATTCAGAATAACATGAGACTGACAACGAACGAGTCTAAACATGTTGAAAAACTATAGGCTAGAAGATAACAGATTTACGATGTAAAGCCAGACGAAATGTAAGGCTGGGCTGCTATTTTATAGCAAACATTAAACACACAGACAGCGCTGTTCATGCCTTTACAGCAGAAAACATCTTGGAATACGACGTAGGTTGAAGTCAAGCCCATTTTTACTCGACTGCGAAGTTAATCAACGACAAGCTGAAGAACTGTTACAATGCGACTGTTTTCTCGACATTAAGCAAATCGTAAAAAGTAATGTAACGTAACGAGAAAGTGGCGGCATTCCATTCAATCGCATGATCAAACCGGCAGATCTGAGACGCTCTTAACAGCGCCATCGTTGCTTTAAAGGTCCTAGCAATTTCTACACATTGTATAATGTACATTTAAAACATGTGTTGCGAAAGAAACATACCGTTAGTGTAAAAGTAATATATTACCGTTGAGAATTCAGCAATGAGTGTTGAAGCGCTGTGCTAGCAGCGCCATTCCGTAAAGTACAACCAGCATCTCCAGTGTATGGACCGGCTCCAAGACATGGCGCCCTGGGCTGGCCAAACAAGCTCCTGAAGCTCATGTGACCCACTACTCCTTTATAAGACATGTAACATGAAATCAGTTAATAAAACAACACTGAAATGAATGAAGTTAGTTTCATAACTGAGGTCAACCTGATACAGAAATCCATGGCTGAAAGGTTAACTGTAAATTAAATATATTCTCTTTTAAGTGCCTTTCCCCTTAATGTTTGGTTGGCATATGATATTAATTATTAACCGTCTCTGATTGACGACAGCGTTATCAGCGAGTCACTAACCAAATGTTGTACCTGTTAGTTGCACAAATTCCCTCGTGTAGGCTACACAACATTATATCAACATGTCATTACAACATAAAGCTTAGAGCTGGTTAGAACTTGTGCAAGAGAATGTAATCTTAGAGATTACACTAATGTTTGCCTCAGCATGGAATATCTAAAACATGGAATGTTGCAACGAACAGCTATATAAATACCATAGTAATATAACAGTTTAGTGTTTTTTGTATAACTTTAATGAAAGCACTAAGTCTAACATAAGGTTCAAAATGAGGTTAAACGTAACTATTCTAAACATATCAATATAATAACAATATGGCCTGTATAAAATATAACTTTCCATATTGAAGACATATCTTTTTCATTACAAATGTGTTCATGCTCCACATTGTTGAGTGAGATATCTGAGTGCATAAAATACATTCCTTTGACTGAGGTATCCAAAGAAATCAGCCTTTGACCCTATCTTGGGCAGATTACCAGGTCACATGCTCTCTGCATGTGGCACACTTTCTGTCACATGTTTGCTGAGCCTAGACACAAGAACACATTTGGCTCATGCTGCATGGGTCGTGCTTCCCCTTTTTTGGGTGATCTGAAAGTAACTTTACTGGTTCTCATACATTCATTTACTGTGGCCAAAACCATAAATAGAGTAGCAAAGATCAAACTCATGATCTCTGAAAGAGACTACAGAGGAAGTGGATTTAGAAATTACCATACAATAATTATTATTATCGTAGTACGAGTCACAGTTTCAGTAACCTTTATTAAGAGATGGAGTAAAGAGAAATTATTTAACAAATGATGTATAAAGTTGGTGAAAGTGACAAATGTTTAATAAATATATTATTGCACCATATATTCATGCAAAGTTTTTTCATAATATGAATATATTATTATATGAAATTTGTAAGGGCATATAATCTGAATTACCAGTCAACTCAGTCAAAACCAATGGATTAAATAACTTAAATTGCTTTTACCTTGATGCAACTCACAACTACTTAAAAGCAAAATTGATACATTTATGAAACCTACATTTTCTAACAAGACAACATCATAAATATCTAGAATTATAAAAACCTTGACTTTCAGATGAAAAAGGTTATACTTTTTAATGCGATGGTTCATTTATAGGTGTGTATATTCAATTTAATCAACAATAATTCAGTCCCTAATGTGTGTTTGTAAGATACGGTAAAGAGGCCAAACAGATTTTACAAAAGTATTTTTGAAGATCTATCTCATAGATCAAAACGAAATCACATGTAATGCCTCAGTTTACACCCGAGTCAAAATTAACCTGAAAGCAAAAGGTATAACATATTTAATGGTTATATCTCTTTAAAACAATTTAAGTGATTTGATAGCCCTTGTGCATTTGCAACGTGTGGTTCCTGTACTTGAAAACTATGCATTTTAAAATGTTGCATTTAGGAATGTATCTCCTCTGGGTCAAAACATTTTAAAACTTTGCATTTTAAGTATGCATCTCCTCTGGGTCAATAACTTTCTTGCGGCCTTCAGTTTGGTGCAGTGAACCCTCACAATGCATTTGGGTCGAATGCATTGTGAGGGTTCACTGAATCAAACTGAAGGCCACAAGAAAGTTATTCTGACTAAAAAATCTTTGCTTGGTTTAACTGTGCACAAAACGGACAACTAGTACTGAAATCTATTACTATTCATCTTTATTACAGTTATAAATACATACACACTTGCTCAAAGGCAAACCCAGCTGCTGTGGTACCACTGCTCTCCACAATTAGCACATGTCATGAAAGTCATTGAATCATCATCTGCACTGCCACTCCGTACCCAGGATGGCAAGAAGAGCGTCCCTCGTGAGATCTGCGTCACCCTGCAGTCCAAACCCTTACAGCGCCTGCAGCAAACTTTATTGGTGGGTGTTCCTTCCACTGCCTCTGGTAACTGATGCTCACTGATGCCCATAGTGGTGTAACCTTCCCTGAGCTGTCGAAGTTCCTCCCCTGCCATTTCCTCCACTGACATCCGGGCGAATGCATCTGGAGTCAGGTGTCCTGATATAAGGCCCTGGCACAGGTGAGGGTTCTTTGGGTTTTTTAGATTGGCCACCTTGCTCCTGATGCAGGACTTGTACTTAATCTGGTTTCGTCCGTGAAGAGCATGAACGTGTGTTTCAATGTCCTCAGCAAGGGCTTTGTGTTTGTCCATAACATCTGAATCTATTTGCTGATTTAAAGTAAGAGCCTGGAGAATCAGATGGACACATTTGGATCTCAATGCCATGGAGTCAGAGGAAGCGCTGGGCTGATTGGTGTTATGAGGAACTGAAGTATCAGATCTACTGTGCCATGCTGCAGCTAGAGTGAAGCTCTCTTCCTCACAATGTAGCTGAACAGATTCTGCAGCATCTTTTGATGGACAAGGCTTTTCAGGAGACAGCTTATTTAAGCATGCATCGCATTTGTCCTGGTTTACATCCTTTGCTATATCATGTTGTTCTGTGTTGCATGTAAATGCTTGATTCTTATTCCCCTTTTCATTTAAGTGGGACACCTCAACATTAGGCAGGTCATGTGCGTCTAGTTCCTTGTCCTCCCACACGTTTCTGTTATTACTTTTCAGCACAGATGACAACTTGTACAACTTCTTCCATTTTGAAAGCAAGCCCTTTGCTATTGTTCTAGCACTCACAACTGGACAGAACTTAAGTAGTTTATAAAGGACCTTAACAATGTCTGTAGTCTGCAACTGCTCTAACGTGACACATGCGTTGTTCAGGTCTGTCAATAGTGATATAATATCTTCATAGCCGCCATCATTTTGCAGCTTCTCTATTTGTGTAGCATAATGAATTATCTCTTTAGTATTCATGAACTCTTCTACATTAAGCCAACATTTCCGAGAAAAATATATATTGTCGTTGGCTGCAGCGGCGTTAAGCCGATAAGCAGACACGCGTTTATAAGAAAAAACTGCTGCAAAATATGAATAAAAGAAATAATTTATAAATTGCAGACTAACGCATCGCCTTTACGTTCAAACAAAGTCGTCATTCATTGCTAAAACATTCAACAGTACAACCTTTTTTGAAAGAGACATCTCGCAATCCTTCCGCCATGTCTGAATTTGTTTTTGTTTTTTTGTTTTTTTCACATATTCCACGTAGCACCTCCGTCCTATAGAGGGCGCAGTTGCATAAATACGTCTTTAAAATGCAAGCATGGAAAACTTTTAGTGAACCCTTTTCAGATTGCCAAAGCGATTACATAGATGTTACGCTTGTAAAAGTGTACTTAATAAGTATATGCAATATATATATAAGTACTTCCTGTGATATGGAAGAGACAATTGTACATCTTTTTTGAGAATGTGATTGTGTAAAAAAAAAATCGTAACGAGTTATGTAGGCCCACCTATCTCTCAGAAAAAAAACCAAATATCAGAATATGTATTAACTCTTTTATTATAACTCTTAATTCCCGTATTCAATATACTGTTAATCTTTTTATTATACTTCGCAACTTTTTATTCACGAATGTAATTTTTTTGGGTAAGAACCTACTACTGTCAATTTTTCTGGTTGATTATAATTCTTATGTTCTGTCTTTGATGGATCTAAAAAACAAAAAATCATTCAAAAGTCAGAAATTGCTCTCAATGTTTAACCTAGTATAATCCCTCTGGCTCATGTTATGTTATTTGTTTTTTAGAAGCCTATATTTATTCATTTTACTTTATTCCTTGTATTATTCTTGAGATATTTTGCCCTGTAGTTTTCTTGATATTGTATAGCTATGTACTTGTTATAAAAAAAAGATTGCCAAAGCATGCTTCCATTAACTTTATTAACGTTATTAGCATAGTGCTTACGTTTTTAGTATTTTCATTAAAATCATCATTTACATCTATAACATTACTTTGTGTTATATTATGTACATTGTTATAAAATAACAAAAGTAACTAAAAATAGCCTAAACACTTCTGTTAACTGTCCAGGGTTTTATGGATTTGTCTCACATTTAAGTAAGATTTACTTGTTGTTGATTTATTTTTTCTTCCCTTTTGGAAAGTTTCTGAAGCGATGGTTTGTTATTTCTTTTGTTTGCTTGCTAGTGGAGCAAATGGAAAACAAGAATTGGCCGTTATAGGAATCAATGAAATGCAGACATCGCTTGCAGTAGCCATAGTCTTGCAGATGATAGTAGGCTTTGATGCTGGTTAAAAAATAAATGATTAAAAAATATACACACACACACACACACACGCATACATAAATAAATATATAGCTAATAAATGAATATAATAATATATAAATATATAGCTACATAGGCTATTTGCATGAAAGGTATGTATGCTTTTTCTTTCCACAAACGGACACAGGTGCACTATTTTTCATTTTGAAATAAAAAGCAATGAAAACTCTCACAGGGGGTTTTGTTATATCCGGAATGGCTCATTGTATGAGTGCTCACATAATAGAACAGCACGGTCTTTTGGTTCATAGGCACATTTTTGTTCTTCGTGACAACAGGCGTAATCTGCGAGTACAACTCGTCAGAAATAATTTTAAGTCTTTCAAACTTGTTTCCTTTGTTACTTCCCACTCAATCTGTTTAGACTTTGGGTGGAGCTGCACCAACTCCCATGTATTCCAGTTCTCCCAATACAGTTTGTTTTTTCTCCTGGGGTTACTTAAAAGACAAAATTGGGTATCGTTGTTGTTGGTAATTATTTGCTTACTCTCAACTTTGAGAGAGAATGGAAATTTACAGAGC